ATTTTGTCTCTCATAGTTGAGGTATACCTATGATGAAAATTACAGGCCTCTCTCATCTTTGTACGTGGGAGAACTTGCACAATTGGTGGCTGACTAAATACTTTTTTGCCCCACTGTATTTCTCTGCAAAATCTGTAAAATCCTACACAGATTATTATTTTTTAACTGCTTTAAAAAATGGGGGTGGGCCAGCTTGCAGCTTATAGGTGCTAAACACCAGACATAGCCCATCTACAGGATCAGTAATGGAAAAGGTGAAAGAGAACACAACATTGCAAACAATCTAGCATTTTTCCCCTTAAGGTTACTAATGAAATTAAAAGGAACTATATTACATCAATAAATATAAAACGTTCTGGAACAAATCTTTAACAAAAACCTGACCAAGGCAGTTGCAATTTCCCCACCAGCTGTGTCAAATATCAAATGAATTGCAAACTGTAAGAAATTAAGCTGTCGCATGCCAGTTTCACCCAAAAACAAGCTTAGCCTGAACCCTCTTCTAAACTCCAACAGAAAGTGCTTCCTAATTCATAGTTTCTGTTAGGCATTGAAAGGGAGTAGTGGATGAATGCAAGGAAAAGTTGGATAGGAAATAAAGTTTCTGGAAGGCAGTTTTTTAAAAATTAACATGTATGGATTCAAATATTTCACATAAAAAGACGACTTCACTTTCCTGGATACTAGTAATTTCTCACAATTATCAAAGATTTGAACTTAATTTCATTGCCAAAAGCAATGTGTTTTCATCTCATGTTCTGCAATAGTGGTTTAAAGCTCTAATCCAAATCTAGTAAAATGCTTATATTTCAAAGCTGCAAAAGAAAATGATACAATCAAAATTCAACTAGAGCTTACTTATTTGCAAATTTCTCAAAAGCCTGATGCTCATTACCTTGTTTAATCAGTCCTTGTGCTGTTGGACTAGCAACTGGAGCAGAAGTCTTCACTTTTCCGAGGTCAGGAGTCCCTGGTCTAGGTGGCCTATAAATAAAATTGTTGTGAATTAATAACTAAGCCTGTAAAGGAGATTTTATACACTTTCATACTTGAGTCTGGTGTCTTAAGAAAATATCTTAGAAATGAATGATACTCCCTCCTTACCTACACTGTTCTGCAGTACTTTTTTTCCTTTCTGCTCTTATTTCTATCTCATTTGTCTTCCCCAAATCTTCATTATTTTCTGGAAAACATTTACTCCCTTCCTTCCAGAATCTCTTTTGCCCTTCCTTGTGGGACAGGCAGATGAAAAATCTTGCCATGGTTCTTATGAAGGTTCCCCTTAATGACTATATAACATGCTATTTTATTTTTAAAATATTTAGATTGTTTTGCTTTCCAATTTGTTTCTATGTTTTAATTAAATTAGTTTTTTTAATCTTTCTTTAAATTTAATAGAAGTATCATTTTTCTTCAAATTTGAGCAACAATCATAACTATAAGCTCAGTTATGCAACTATCTATTCACTGATATTTTACTTTCTTGAATTGCAATTTTTAATTCACATTCCCCCCAAGTGAGGAACAATTATATATACGTAGAAGTGCACCACTTTCAGACAAGTTGAATTAACGAAAGAAGGAAGAAGAAAAGAACAAGAGCCAAAGTTACCAAGCACTGGGAAGATGGTGAAGAAAAGAGATTGTTGGCAGCAATGGAGAACTCTGCAAGAGAAGCCCAGAGGCCCAGAGCTTTGGCACCAACCAAAAAAAGGGGATAAGGATGCAGCGCTAGGCCAAGGGCAACAACCCTTGGCTATACAAATACGATAAATAAATAAAAATAAATAAATAAATCCAGCCCAGAGCAGCTGGCAGAAGCAGGCTGCCAGAACCCCAGCATCCCAACAAGGAGCAGCTCCAAGAGCAAGACAAAGTGCTGCATAGAACACCTGAGAACAGCAAGCCGGTTGTACACACATGTGACTATGAACAGGGTTGGCCGGGGAGGGCAGGATGAAATTGTGTGAACAAGACCTAAGACAGAATATAGTACAAGATAGGGCATATAAGGTAAGACAACATAGTATAATATGAAGTATAGGATTAGACTTGCAAGATAGGAAAAGAAGTCATAAATAAGACATAAAATATACAGGACTTACCTGAACAAAAGAGGCTTGGACCTCCAAATTGTTTAATACACATTATTTTTGATAAAGCTTTCTGTACTAAAGCCCCCTCCCCCCAAAATGGAAACTGCTACCCCTTCCTGTCCATGCCTGCTATCACCTAAACCCAAACCTATAATGCTAGTACAGTACTTGTGACTTAGTTTCAATTCAACAAATGATCTAACAAATCAAACAAATATGACTATGGAATTATGATCTCTTGAATATACAAATATATACAATGAAACCTCAGTTTAATGGATAGACGCCAGGGGAGGGAAGGCATCGTTACTCCTGATTGTTCAATCAGACACATCCACAGCAATGTCATTATGCAAATGATGTCATTTATGTTATTTGCATAATAGCATTGTTATACAAATAAAGCATATGACATTATTGGCATTATTTTACACTCGTTCATTCAGAAGATATAGAGTGACCTAAATATAATGGGAATTTTGTCCGCTGCATCAAGGACTGCTAAATCAAGGTTCCAAACTACTATGGAGCTGTGGGAGTGAGAAGGGAGAGAAAACAAGAGATGCAAAATTAGTAAATGAAGTTGTTAAAGGTACCTGGCTGGTCCCTTTTTCATATGCTCTCCAATAAACGTTGCATTGGTCATACTCATCAAGGTGTTTGCCAAGGAGATAATGGAGAGGAGGTGCTGAGTAGTTACTGCACGTGATATGCCGTACGTACCCCTGATGTGTCCCTCCGTGAGAGATACAGACTTTCCCATGTCTGTATCACTAGAGGGCATCTTGCCTACAGGCTGATTATACCCTGGAAGCATCAAAGACATGTGGCCTCCTCTTGAAAGCAAGCCAAAAGAGACGGAACAGTGAGGCCTCAACATCCCCAAACGCTCACTACAAAGTTCATCTAGAACACTGTTCAAGCCCCAAGCATGAAGACATGACATAAACAGCTTGGCTGTGTCCATGGTTAGATTATATTCTAAGAGAGTTAATGGCTTTGATTTGCTGGACCGATATTCGGGGTCACTGTCCTCTCTTCTTTGTCTGGATTCCTCATCCTCATCATCTTCATCAAAAAGACGTTCTTTTATGTTTTCTTTGATTGTTTCTTTGACTGTTTCTTTGACCTGCTGAAGCAGGACTGCTGCTCGTTTGCCAGCCATGAAGGAACCTCCTTTGTCAGAGCTGCCAGATGCTTTCTGTAAATTCTCGGGGGAAATAAGGGCTGTATTAGGCCTGGAGGCTTCCTCAGTTAGTAACTGAATAATCAGAGCTTCCACATCAAAGAAGAGTATATGGACATCTGGGTCTGTTAAGTTAGTCTTCAGGGCTTGAACCATCAGAGAGTTGTGAGAATATTTTGGCAAGTTTCCCTTTAACAAAACACAGAATACAATTATCTCTTTAGTATGCTTTTCTGTTTATGGGTTTGTACATTATACAATATGAACATCTTGGACAGGAAATCTTAACACAGTTCTTATGTTTGAAAAATGTGAAATTAATAGTATGAACCTATTTTAAATATAGGCATCACTAAACGCTCAATACTGAAAATGTTTTGAAACAGTGTACATCATGTATTTTTAAAATAGATCTTGGACATTACTTCTTCATGCTTTTTTAAAATACGTAACAACTAGAACGCCTGTTACATTCGTTTTTGAAGTAATAATAGAGATTCTACTGAGAATAAGTGTCCTGCAGTTCTTATTCTCTTCCGAGAGCTTTTAGCGCTGTCTGAGCTTGGTTGTTTGCTTGCAGACGTTTCATTACCCAACTAGGTAACATCATCAGTGTTAGTGAGTGTGGGGTTTTCTCCTTTTTTATATACAGTAACTTGCCCTGCCAGTGTTGGTGGGGGTGTGGTTTTCTCCTTGATTAGGATATTGTTTTCTTCTTGGTTGTTTGTCTGGC